CATGGTCTTACCGAGCTGGTCTTTGAACATCTTTGTTACCAATCTTTGATATGTAGCCCCCACATTCTTCATCCCAAATGGTATGACCCTATAACAATACGTTCCTTGGTGGGTGATGAACATGGTCTTCTTCCTCCATAATAATTTGGATATAGCGTGAGTAAGCGTCCAAGAAACTCAATAGTTCTTGCTTGGCTGTTGTGTTGATGAGTTGGTCGATATGGGTTAATGAATCCTTCGGACATGCTTTGTTCAAGTCTGTGAAATCCACACACATCCACCATTTCCCGTTTTTCTTTTGACTATCACTATATTGGCAATCCACTTGGGGTACTTCGACTCCCTGATGGAGTTATTCTCTAACAGTTTTTCCACCTCCTCGCGGTCTACATCTTTGATGGCAAAGTTGAATTTATGCCTGACCTATCTTATTAAGGGGTGGAACGAGTCGACGTTTAATTTGTGTGTGGTGATTTCCCTTGGAATGCCCGACATATCTGCATGGTTAAAGACAAACAAATCTGCATTAGATATTAAGAATTGACCGAATTTACCTGGTTCCCGGAATTTGCAACTGATATAGTCCTTTTTGCTACGGTCGTTGAGGTCCAATTGAATGGGGTCGAGGTCTTCTACAGTCAAATCTGCAACCTCGACCATGTCGGGATCTATAATAACGTTCCTGATCTCTTCTTGAATCGACCTCGGCCCTGTTGATTGCTATGCCTCTTTTTGCTTGTCTTTTTTCTCTTGGGTTGTCGTGCTGTCTAAGGCAATGCGGTAGCATTCCCGGGACGTGCGCTGTTCTCCACGTATGCTGAATATTTCCCATGGTGTTGGGAATGTAATTACTTGGTATAGGTTGGAGGGGATGTCTCTCACGAGATGTATCCATGGTCATCCCACAAGGACATTATATGCGGTGGCCTGGTCCATGATGTGGGATCTCGTCTCCAGAGTCACGCCGCCGGTCAAGACGGGGAGTGTAATTTCTCCGGACATCCGTTCAACTGCATTATTAAAGCTGGTTAGCATGATGCAACGCGACATTATCTTATCCTCGAGTATCATTTGGATGAGGACTCGGGGATGGATAATGCATGCTCCACTTCCATCGTCCACCATGATGCATTTTAAATCAGTATCTAGAATGCGTAAAGTAATAACGATGGCATCATTATGAGGAAAAGTCAAATTGTCGGCATCCGACTCGTTGAAGATGATATTTTCTTTGAGTCTATCGTGTCGTTCGCGGATGATAGACCGCTTGAGCTTGTGAGTGGTGGTGGACTTCACGCCGTTGATAGAGGCGTCGTCGTCGCCGCCGATAATCATGTTGATAGTACGAGCTGGTGATGGTAGTTTCGGCGGACCTTGGTGTTCACGTCCTTTGGCGAAGTTGGTTTTCTCCTTGTCGCTTAACAACTCTTTGAGGTGTCTTTGCCTCAACATGTTTATGACTTTTCTGTTTTGTGTCCACGTTCCCGGTGGAACTCACAAAGGGCGTTGAATTTTCTGGTGTTCGGGTCTGATCTCATCTTCGGTGGCCACTTCATCTTTGTTCTGAGTTTTTCAAGAGCATAGACTATTTTCGTAGGTGACACAAAAAAATTGTGAGTAGATAATAAATGGGGAATACCTCTTACGTTTTGGTGAGTCCCTATCCTTGGCCAAGATAGGCCATTCCCTGTTAGGTCGCGGATCTGGTGATCTCTCCTGATATTATCTCTTTGTTCCTTTATGGATTCGGTTTGCACCAATGCTACCCGGTGAGTTGGTCCATTGAGTTTATCTTCGTTTGCTCGGACCTCGGCGCAATAAGCATTATGGATCTCGTCCTAGGTTGTTGGGGGATATTTCATCAATCGGCTCAACAATTTTCTAGTCACTCTTGAACCATCTCTACTCAACCCTTTCTGGAAAGCTGCAACCGTCATCCCTTCTGTTACGTTCTGCAGAGTCATCCTTACACTGTTGAATCGGGCGAGAAAGTCCCATAGTCCATCTCCCAAAAATTGCTTGATAGTGAATATGTCGTTTACTCTTGCTTCGACCTTCTTGGCTTCGGTATGGGCAGTTACGAACTTATCGGCCACTTCCTCAAAAGCTTCTATGGATCGGGCTGGTAGCTATGAATACCATATTAATTCCCTCCCGTTACCCTCTGGGTGATATGGGGTTGAGAGTATCCTCTTGATATGCCATTTCCCGAAGAACTCGGCAGGTTTCTTTCCCATGAATTAGGGTCCGTTGTCACAGCTGATCTCCTTGGGTAGGCCGAATCGACAGATGATGTTTCTCCATTTAAAAGTGATTACCTCATGTTCCCGTATTTGGGCAAATGCTCCTACTTCTACCCATTTAGAGAAATAGTTAGTTAAAACCAAAAGGAATCATACATTACCTCGCCTTGCTGAGAGGGGGCCCACGATGTCCATTTCTCATTTGATGAACAACCAAAGGGAGGTGACTAAGTGGAGCTATTCGCCTGCTTAGTGAATCATTGGGGCGTACTTTTGGCACTATTCACATTTCCTCATGAAGTCTGCGACATCCTTTTTCATGGTGGGCTAATAGTATCCCGCCCGTATGAGGCATCTGACCAGTGCTCGATTGCCGGAGTGAGCACCGCAATGGGCTTCATGGACTTCTTCGAGGATGCGTTGGGTTTGGTTCGGCCCCAAACATTTCGCTAGAGGGCCGCCATAAGTCCTCTTGTATAGGTCGCAATGAAGGAAACTATATCTGGCCGCTTGCATTCTTAGTTTCTTGTCGCCTGTGAGTGTGAAGTCCTACAAATATGCGATAATATAATTGCGCCAATCCCAAGTTAACTTAATAGTTCTTACCTCAATTTGGTCTAGTGATGAGTTGGGGAGATGTACTATGCTTTTGTCCCCGGTCGTGATGTTTTTGGTACCTGCGCCCATCTTGGCAAGCCGACAACTTCGAAATTCTACGCCCGTGGGATCTGATCGAGCTGGCATTCGTCGAACTCAGGTAATAGCTTGCAGATTTTGATTTGTATTTTTGCAATCTTTGTTCCTTGATTTGGAAAGTCCCTACGACCTTGTTGACTACGAGCTGGGAATCACAGTAGAGTTTTAACCGTTTCGCCCCATACTTGAGTGCTAACCTCAACCTTGTAATTACGCCCTCATACTCAGCCTCATTGTTAGTCATATTCGGGTACCTTATGGACTAGCGAATTACTTAGTATGTAGGGACCTCGAGGATGAGTCCCAGTCCGGACCTTGATGCATTGGATACACCATCGGTGTATAGGACACAAAGTTCTTGCATTTGGAGGGAAGCTTGGACGGCTTCCCTTTCGACTTCAAGCATTATTTTTGCACTGAAGTCGGCGAGCACTTGGTACTTTATCGTCGTTCGTGGCTAGTATGTGATATCGTGCTCACTTAGCTTGATGGCCCATTTGACCAGCCTCCCCTATAACTCGAGTTTTATGCAAAATTTTCCTCAAGGGAAAGGTTGTGACAACCGAGATGGGGTGGCATTGGAAATAGGGTCTAAGCTTTCGTGGAGCTACGACCAAGGCCAGAGTCAATTTTTTGAGGTGTGGGTACCTCGTATCGACGTCGACGAGTGTTTTGCTAATGTAAAAGATGGGAGATTGCAAACTTTTGTTTTCGCGGATCAAGGTTGCGCTTACCGCTACCTCGAAGATGGCTAGATAGACGAGGAGTTGCTCCCTAGGTTTGGGTTTTGAAAGTAAGGGTGGTAATGATAGGTATGCCATCAGTTCTCTTAGAGACTAGACGCACTTGGGAGTCAATTTTAGGCCGTTGTCCTTTTTGAGTACGCCAAAAATATTGTGACATCTATCCGACGATCGTGAGATGAATTTTGATAGGGCGGCGATTCGACTAGTCAACCTTTGGACTTGATTTTTGGTGGTTAAGAGTTTTGGTATCCCCTCGATAACTTTCATTTGGTCTGGGTTGACCTCGATCCCTCGCCGCGACACCAAAAAACTCAAGAACTTTCCCGAGGATACGCTAAACGTGCATTTCTCCGGGTTCAACTTCATTCCGTATCGCCTTAGTATGTCGAAAGTTTATTTCAAATAATCGACGTGACCCTCTACCTTTTCGGAATTGACCAACATGTCGTCTATATATACCTCCATGGTCTTACCGAGCTGGTCTTTGATCATCTTTGTTACCAATCTTTGATATGTAGCCCCCACATTCTTCATACCAAACAGTATGACCCTATAACAATACGTTCCTTGGTAGGTGATGAACATGGTCTTCTTCCTCCATAATAATTTAGATATAGCGTGAGTAAGCGTCCAAGAAACTCAATAGTTCTTGCCTGGCTGTTGTGTTGATGAGTTGATCGATATGGGGTAATGAATCCTTCGGACATGCTTTGTTCAAGTCTGTGAAATCCACACACATCCACCATTTCCCATTTTTCTTTTTGACTATCACTATATTTTTAATCTACTTGGGGTACTTCGACTCCCTGATGGAGTTATTCTCTAACAGTTTTTCCACCTCCTCGCGGACTACATCTTTGATGGCAAAGTTGAATTTATGCCTGACCTATCTTATTAGGGGGCGGAATGAGTCGATGTTTAATTTGTGTGTGGTGATTTCCCTTGGAATGCCCGACATATCTGCATGGTTAAAGACAAACAAATCTGCATTAGATATTAAGAATTGACTGAATTTACCTGGTTCCCGGAATTTGCAACCGATATAGTCCTTTTTGCTACGGTCATTGAGGTCCAATTGAATGGGGTCGAGGTCTTCTACAGTCGAATCTGCAACCTCGATCATGTCGGGATCTATAATAACGTTCCCGATCTCTTCTTGCATCGACCTCGGCCTTGTTGATTGCTATGCCTCTTTTTGCTTGTCTTTTTTCTCTTGGGTTGTCGTGCTGTCTAAGGCAATGCGGTAGCATTCCCGGGACGTGCGCTGTTCTCCACGTAGGTTAGAAAGAATGTCTCTCACGAGATGTATCCATGGTCATCCCACAAGGGCATTATACGCGGTGGCCTGGTCCATAATGTGGGATCTCGTCTCCAAAGTCACGCCGCCAGTCAAGACGGGGAGTGTAATTTCTCCGGACATCCGTTCAACTGCATTATTAAAGCTGGTTAGCATGATGCAACGCGACACTATCTTATCCTCGAGTATCATTTGGATGAGGACTCGGGGATGGATAATGCATGCTCCACTTCCATCGTCCACCATGATGCATTTTAAATCAGTATCTAGAATGCGTAAAGTAATAACGATGGCATCATTATGAGGAAAAGTCAAATTGTCGGCATCCGACTTGTCGAAGATGATATTTTCTTTGAGTCTATCGTGTCGTTCGCGGATGATAGACCGCTTGAGCTTGTGAGTGGTGGTGGACTTCACGCCGTTGATGGAGGTGTCGTCGTCACCGCCGATAATCATGTTGATAGTACGAGCTGGTGATGGTGGTTTCGGTGGACCTTGGTGTTCACGTCCTTTGGCGAAGTTGGTTTTCTCCTTGTCGCTTAACAACTCTTTGAGGTGTCTTTGCCTCAACATGTTTATGACTTTTCTGTTTTGTGCCCACGTTCCCGGTGGAACTCACAAGGGCGTCGAATTTTCTGGTGTTCGGGTTTGATCTCATCTTCGGTGGCCACTTCATCTTTGTTCTGAGTTTTTCAAGAGCATAGACTATTTTCGTAGGTGACATAAAAAAATTGTGAGTAGATAATAAATGGTGAATACCTCTTACATTTTGGTGAGTCCCTATTCTTGGCCTAGATAGGCCGTTCCCTATTAGGTCGCGGAACTGGTGATCTCTCCTGATATTATCTCATTGTTCCTTTATGGATTCGGTTTGTACCAATGCTACCTGGTGAGTTGGTCCATTGAGTTTATCTTCGTTTGCTCGGACCTCGGCGCAATAAGCATTATGGATCTCGTCCTAGGTGGTTGGGGGATATTTCATCAATCGGCTCAACAATTTTCTAGTCACTCTTGAACCATCTCTACTCAACCCTTTCTGGAAAGCTGCAACCGTCATCCATTCAGTTACGTTCAGCAGAGTCATCCTTACACTGTTGAATCGGGCGAGAAAGTCCCATAGTCCATCTCCAAAAAATTGCTTGATAGCGAATATGTCGTTTACTCTTGCTTCGGCCTTCTTGGCTTCGGTATGGGCAGTTACGAACTTATCGGCCATTTCCTCAAAAGTTTCTATGGATCGGGCTGGTAGCTGTGAATACCATATTAATTCCCCTCCCGTAAGGGTTTCACCAAACTTTTTCAGCAAAATACAGGACACTTGTTCCTTGGCGAGGTTATTGCCTTTCACAGGCGGTTATGTAATGAGTAACATAATCCTCAGGATCGATTGTTCCGTTGTATATCCTGAGGTGGGGCAACATTTTAAAGGTCTTTGGTATGGTATACGAGGTTGTTTCATCGTTGTATGGCTACTCTAAGAACCTGCCGGTGTCCCTTTTTGGCAGCAACTTAGGAGCGTCCGGTATCTTGTCGACTCGTTCTTGGTGTTCTTTCATCTGATCTCGGGGTGCTTTGTTTTCATTCTCCATTTATTTCATCCTCTTTAGGACGGCAAAGAGGGCGTTGTCATCTATACTATTAGTAATATTGTGAGTTATACCTATCATCAGAGGGCTTGGCCGGTTGCACTGCTCGCCTGTTTGTTGTATCATGCAAGCTCTTGTGTTTTCTGTGGTCATGCCTTGAGCGGGTTTTTTGAGGATGCTCACTAGTGTGTCGATCAACCATGCTTCGAGAAGTTTTTTCACAGTTGGGNGGGGGGGGAAGGGGGCAACCTCTCACGCCTAGGGTACACATTGGGCGTGTTGTCTTCGCCTACTATTTCGCAGCTCTAGTTGATAACATTCATGAGGTTGCTAGGGAAATCACTTGTTATTTTTGTCCGTTCTCCTTGGTTACCTGCCATGTAGGGTTTTGTACGTACGAAGAAAGAATATCTCGAGGTTTGTGATGTTAGTGACTTGCGTTAGCTCTAGATCTAGAAGAAACTAAAAATTTAACTAAGAAATCCTCACACACGACGCTAAATTGTTTGACCATAAAATATAGATCTTGGTTTAACTAATTAAATTTGTACAAATGAAGGTTAATCTTAGTTAACAATAATATCCCAAAGGTGAAGTTCTTAGAAGTGCAATAAATACTACGTAGGTATATTTTTGTAGCAACGGTAACATACAACCAATATTTAAAAAGTCAAAGGAAATAATATAGCATTGAATATTGATGAATAACAATAAATGACATTTAAGTAAATAGAGTGAATGAGTCACCCAAGAAAGGATGGAATCAGTGAATGTTCTTTCTGACACTGATAAGTGATGGACAATCTTTGAATATCTGAGTTATTCTCGGATCCGGTAGAAAAGTATAGACAAGAATCTTAGCGAAAAGGTTGTGTTTGTATCCTTGCAATAAGATCAGATTCTCTCCTTTAAAGTCAAAGTGTATTTTACATATGAATATCACATGCCCCTATCATTGTGTCTCTTTCTATTTATACGGAACATATTCCTAAAAAATCCTAATAGTACAAGTACAGAGAATATCCACTAGAATATTCTCTTTTATGTCCCATCTTGAAAGCCGTTATAACTCTGTCAAGGATGCTCGACCTCGGCCTTGATCCTTGATGACTTCTCGGCCTCAGCTCTCGCTGACTTTTCGACCACAGATTTCACTACTTCTTAGATTATTTCGACAAACGACAACTGGGAACGTTCCACCAATTATATTTTGACTTAAGTATTCTAAACATAGATTTTGGCCCATACACTCACAAAAACTTTTACTCGTTAAACTTTTAAGACCACAAGTTTCAAAAGTCTTTTTTTTTCTTAAACCTCATGCCGAGTCAAATTATCTCATCTAAATTAAAACGTAGGGAGTATTCTAGTCACACTAAAGGCTTGGAGTATAATTTATTAATTTCGTCATATGGTTTATTTTAATTGATTTTTTTGGTTGTTCTTATACATATTAATGAATTCACCTTTTGACATTAATTATAAAATAAAATAACCATATTAACCTTTATTATCTTTTAATTTGTTCATTGTAAATATAACAAATCCGATGGCCTTTACTCCTTAGTGCCCTACTCGTGTCCCCATAAGTTTTACTCCCTCCAGTCCACAATAAGTGATTCTCTTCTTTAAAGTCAAAGTGTATTTTACAAATGAATATCACATGCCCCCCTTATCATTGTCACAAGTTTCAAAAGTCTTTTTTTTTCTTAAACTTCGCGCTGAGTCAAATTATCTCATACAAATTAAAACAGAGGGTGTATTCTAGTCACTGACAAAGAGTGGTTTGCTCTAGTGGTGAACACCCTCCATTTCCAACCAAGAGGTTATGAGTTCAAGTCACCCCAAGAGCAAGGTGGGGAGTTTTTGGAGGGAGGGAGCCAGGGGTTTATCGGAAACAGCCTCTCTACCCTAGGGTAGGGGTAAGGTCTGCGTACAAACTACCCTTCCCAAACCCCAATAGTGGGATTATATTGGGTTGTTGTTGTTGTGGTGTATTCTAGTCACACTAAAGGCTTGGAGTATAGTTTATTAATTTCATCATACGGTTTATTTTAATTGATTTTTTTTTATTGTTCTTATACATATTAATAAATTCACCTTTTGACATTAATTATAAAATAAAATGACCATATTAACCTTTATTATCGTTTTAATTTGTTCATTGAAAATATAACAAATCCGATGGTCTTTACTCCCTAGTGCCCTACTCGTGTCCCCATAAGTTTTACTCCCTCCAGTTTACAATAAGTGATATTTTGAATATTTTTCACACAAATTAAGAAATTTACCTTTTAACATTAATCAGCAATAAAATTGACCATATTAACCTTTACTATCTCTTCACATAAACAGCCCTAACACGTACTCCAATATTATTTATTCAAAGGTTAATATAGGAAAAAAATAATTAATTTATTTTTAAAATCTGAAAAAATCACTTATTTTGAATTAAAAAAAAATGTTTAAAAATTATTTATTGTGAAACGAGTAGCATCTTAAAGCAAGTTTCGAGGACTATTACTCTACTAAAAAGAGGATTGCTCAGACCTTCCTTCCATGTGTAAGGCACCAAAGGTCCTTTTGATTAAAACAGCGTGTACTTGTTGACCGAAGAAAGAAAAAGAAAAGGGGGTATTATTACCAAGAAAAGGGATATTCATATTCCCACGCGACCCAACATGGAGACGCGCAGAACAAATATAACAAACAGTGCACGGCTAATCATAGACGACTGGATTTTGACTTCCTTACCATATAGTTCACATCACACATCACATCAGTGTAGCCTCGTTCCATCTGCAGATATGATGTTGGAAAGACGACTCTGGATTGCTACTCTTATAGTAATAATTTGCACAACCATTGTTAAAGCCCAAAATGTTACTCACTGTACTTCTTCTTGCGGTGATATTCATAACATCAGCTTTCCTTTTCGATTGAAAGCTGATCCCCACAACTGTGGTGATTCAAGGTTCGAGCTCGATTGCCAGAACAACCGTACTGTCATAAGTTTGAGTACTTTCATAAGTTCGGACGCAGGAATATATAACGTGCTAGAAATCAACTATGATAATTTCATTATCAGAGCAATTGACCCTGGTGTGGAGCATCAAATTAGCAGGAACTGCACTACTTCTCCCAATAACTTCCGCATGTTTGCTCCTACCGCCTCAGCTTTTGACAGTATTAGTTCGAACCGTCCCATTCTTTATGTCAATTGTTTAGCCACTGTAAAGTCTTCCAGCTATGTGGAGACTACTTTCTGTGGTTCACAGAACAAGACTACTACTACTTCTTCTGAGAGTCATAGCTATCTCACCACTGGACAGGACATGACGATTTCGGATTTGGCAGAGAATTGCAGCGTTGAAATGGTTGCCTGGACTTCAGCCCGGGGACTTTCAGTGGATAATAATTCTCTATCGAGCATTCATGCGGCACTGACAGATGGGTTTGAACTTTCTTGGAAACGTGCCTTTATGTGCAGAGAATGTGAAGCGAGAGGAGCCTTCTGTTCTGAAGACGACGGTTATAGTTGCAGCAACCCCTGCTATAGCTACTGGGTGATGGAGAGAATTCCCCTCCCTTGTAAGTCAATATTTTTTTGGTCAAATCTATGTCAATATTCATTTGTGTTTCAGATGTTACGTTTTATTAAATCTCATCTGATATTGACTAAGGGTTGGTTTAGTTTGGGTTCTTAAAGAGCTGCTAAAATTATGAATTTTAGAAGATCCACGTAAAAACTATACGATGTTTGGTAGGGATTTTAGAAGATTTATAGCTTGTTTGGCTAAGCTTCTCCAATCTCAACAGTATGTTAGAAGTGTTTTGCCTAGAATGAAAAAAATACTCTTGAGTAAAGCATAATCAATTTTGCATGTGCAGAAAAAAGTAACTTGTTCCGGAATCACTTGAAAAAAATACACTTCCAAATACTTATTACTACTTAGAAGTGTTTTTCAAAATAATTATCCAAACACAAATTGCTTCTCACCAAAAGTAATAAGCTTAATTTTCCAGCTTGGCCAAACGGGCTATTAATAGGCTTTTGGACATAAAAATTATAATTTTTGATAAAAAGTAATATTTAAAGTTAATTGAAAAATAGTATTTGGAATTTAAAATTTGAAATTATGTGTACATTGAAAAAATATTGTTGAGTTTAGAAAAAAGTTTTTCCGAAAATTTTGAAAAAGTGGTCAAAATCACTTTTTGGTTTATGAAAAAAACTCATTTTCAAAAAATTTCCAAAAGTTTGTAAAATTTCATGGACAAACACATTTTTGAATTTCTAATTTGGAAAAATGAATTTTTTTATTGACAAATGGGGCCTTAATCTCCACATAAAAAGTCAACATTATTTAATATATTATTTAATAATATTGAATATAGTGTATTAGTAATATTGTGATTAATTATGCTAAACTATTTCTTATCGATTGTTTGGTTTGGTTTGGTGTATTAAAAGTTTTTCTGCCTTTATACAAGTCTATCCATGTATTAAAAACTATAGTATTACTAATGCCATGGTTTGCCTGAATTAGTTATACATAGGTAGAAAATTATGCCAAACAAAGGATTAATAATATTAAAGCTAATATATGTATTATTTTCCCTATATATCCTACCAAATGACCCCTAATTGTGAAAGAGATGGAAATACAGAACATTGAAACTTTTTAGTGCTGCAAAGACCATGTTAAAACTCCCAGCAACTTTACTGTATTTCAAGTTCTAATCTTTAGGTGTCAATCTTTACGACAAATGAGATCTCCATCTGAAAGCAGGTCAAAGATGTGGTCAATTTTCTTTCTTTCTTATGTTGTTACTTATTTTTGTCTGCTCTGTGTTTTAGTCCTAAGTTTCACTATACAACAATTTATTTTAAGATGTAGCATCTCTATTTTGCTGAAATTCTATATTTATGATAATGCAGGTCGCCTCTCCCACAATGGTGGTAAGTATTTCGATACTGGAGTAATAGACTGCAATAACTTTATTACAGAGTAAGCATTTTGTTGAAAGGAAACCTTTAAAATCAATAAGTCTGTTAATTGAATTTCCTTTCATTACACCACACAGCTGTTAAACCTTGCTTGAAGTATTTAGCAAATCTATTTCCTCTTTAATATAATTTTTTCCTTTGTGGTTTGCCTGTTTTGACAGTTCTTACAACAATATACGTTGGAAGTGCTACATGTGAGTCTCTATCTTACCCTACGAGGCTTAGGATTCTTGGTCACCTCTGAAAACAATATATAGCTTAGTTTGTAGCTTTTAGTCAAATCCCTTTATCTTATTAAAAAGAATGTGGTTCTCTTATTAATGTCTTCCATTTATCTTTGTAAAACTATGCAGTTTCAATTCTGTCATTGCGCTCTCTCTTTGGATTGGTTTTCCTGATTGCATTAATAGTGTACAAATGGAGAAGACAACACTTATCTATGTACCAATCAATTGAAGACTTCCTGCAAATCCAGAGCAACTTTGTGCCAATTAAGTATTCCTACTCTGAGATTAAGAAGATGACTAATAAATTCAAGGAAAAACTTGGTGAAGGAGCCTATGGAACTGTCTTTAAAGGAAAGCTACGCAGTGGTCCTTTTGTTGCAGTGAAGATGATGCACAAATCTATGACTAGTGGGCAAGAATTTATCAGTGAAGTTTCCACAATTGGAAGGATTCATCATGTTAATGTTGTGCAGCTCATTGGATTCTGTGTTGAGGGCTCGAAACGTGCTTTGGTATATGAGTTCATGCCTAATGGTTCCTTAGACAAGTACATATTTCTGCAAGAAGGAATTGTTTCCTTGAGTTACAAACAAATGTTCGATATATCTCTAGGAGTTGCCCGTGGGGTAGAATACCTACATCGGGGCTGTGACATGCAGATCTTACATTTTGATATTAAGCCACATAACATTCTTCTTGACGAAAATTTCAGCCCCAAAATATCTGACTTTGGGCTTGCCAAATTGTATCCAACAGATGATAGTATAGTGAGCCTAACTGCAGCAAGAGGGACAATGGGTTACATGGCTCCAGAGTTGTTTTACAAAAATATTGGAGGAATCTCATACAAAGCCGATGTATATAGTTATGGAATGTTGTTGATGGAAATGGCAGGCAGAAGAAAGAACATGAGCCCATTTGCCGACCACTTAAGCCAGATTTACTTTCCTACCTGGGTTTACGACCAATTCGATTTAGGAAATGACATAGAGATACAGGATGCCACCGATGAAGAAAGGAGCATGGTAAAGAAGATGATGATTGTGGCATTGTGGTGCATACAGATGAAGCCGGCTGATCGTCCTGCAATGAACAAAGTTGTTGAAATGCTTGAAGGAGATGATGAACTCCTACAGGAGCCCCCAAGACCTTTTATAGCTCCCCGTGAGATTAATGCTGGAGATGTTACTGAGACAATAAGAATATCCTGTGACATTCTAGGTGGTTAAGGTTAACTCACCATGTTTTGCAAACCGTGGTAAGAAGACCTTAAGGAGAATTCCTGAGTGCCAACACTGCTTCCATGCCAACTGTATAGACAAATGGCTACGATTAAATGCTTTATGTCCAGTTTGCTGCAAATCCCCAGGCCCAAGCTATTTTCCCTTAGTGAGGCTCCCTAATTATTTCTCATTTGAATGTAGACTTCACCTTTTAATCGGCACCATGACTACACGAGATGAACCTTAGTTTAGTAAATTGAAATTGGCCTCGTGTAGTAATGAGGTGCTCATTGCTGCTTGTTGGCTTTTATTTTATGAGAATAGATGGTTGGAAGTCATACTTATATTCTTGAGGAAATTGGACAGCAATATCCATAAACTTCTTTTTTTCATTGTTTTTGGTGTATGGGCTTGTCTTGATTCCTTCCCAACCTCAACCTTTTTCATCCATAATTGCATGCTGTTTTGTATAGTAAATTCGCTGGTTGAGAAACTCAGCTATTTAAATTCTACTCAGTACAATTTACAACAACCGAATTGATATAGATATATACCAAAGACGTACTAGCTAGTAGCATTTACATCAGTCTTATTCTGTCCTTTGTTTCTTTCTTTATGGAGAGAAATGTTATACCTCAGATTTACTCAATTCGAACTTGTACCAGTTTCAAAACTGCTTCCAAGCTCACTGCTCAATTGGCTTGCCTCTGCAGTAGTCCTCGTGTTTGACAAATTCATTGAACCGAAAGGATTAGGTGGCATGACGGGAACGCCCTCTGCTTCTAGCATTTGAATCACAACTTTCATGGATGGCCTATCTGCTGGATACCATTGAATGCACCAAAGTCCTGCTATTGCTAGTTTCTTGATTGTGCTGCTGTCATCTTCATTGTCAATTTGGATTTCTATTTCTTCTCCTTTCTCCAGTTGTTTGTACATCCACTCGGGGTAGTAAATCTGACTGCTACTGTTCTGCTCATTTGCAGCATCAAATTTCTTCCTTCCACCAATCATATCAAGCAACAGCATTCCAAAACTATAAATATCTGCTTTATATGACACATTTCCATAGTTCCTAGAGAACACTTCAGGAGCGATATAGCCAATGGTGCCTCGAGCAGCAGTCATTGATACAGCACTTTGTTCCTTGGAACACAACTTTGCCAGCCCAAAATCTGCAACTTTTGTATTGAAATCTTGGTCTAGCAAGATATTATGAGGCTTAATATCAAAATGTACAATTCTTTGATTGCACCCTTGATGTAAATACTCGATACCTTTGGCGATTCCTACTGCTATTTGTTGCATCTTTTCCCAACCTAGTGATGACCCTCTTTCATTCCCGGATGATATGATCTTTTGAAGCGTGTCGTTTTGTAAATATTCATACACAAGAGCTCGTCTGTAACCATCAGCACAATATCCTACTAAGCGCACAACATTCACATGGTGAATTCTGCCTATGCTGCCCACTTCATTAATGAAGTCTTCGCCATTGCCCTTGAAATTGTTAAGGACCTTAATTGCAACAAGAATTTCATTGGTTAGCTTCCCTTTGTATACTTTTCCATAACCTCCTTGACCTACTTTATACTTGAATTGCTCTGTTATCTTCTTAATATCTGCATAACTGTATCTTGTGGGTCTCAGAGCTTTATAATCCTCTAAAAACCTCTCAATCCTTTTCTGATCCTCTTTCTTTATTTTCAATTTGATAATTTTGTACACTGCTAAAATGATTAACATGAAGGCAAACACACTACCTAGTACACTTGCGACAATAACTTTCTTTGACGGTCCTGTAAAATAAAGATGATAGCATTATTAGCTTGTAGTAATTGTTATTTAGGAAATAATATCAATCTTGATTTCTTAAAGACAATAACTCTCTTTGATTACCCTATAAACTTTGTAATTGTAAAAGGTGTACCAATTTATGGCCTGAAAAGGGAAAGTCAATTCTAAAGATATACCTTTGCTAGGATCTTCTGGAATGTCAACACATTCGGTTTCACTGCCTGAACCGTTGGATTTCAACTTGCAGTACTTCCCATCAGCTTCACAATTCCCACAAAATGGTTCGGACCAATGCAAATAAATCTGGGTGCGACTATATTCTGGTTGCCCGAAAAGTACCTCGTTTGGAACATCTGAAATGTTGTACATCTTTGTACAAGAAGATGGAAACTGAGAGATACTATTGTAAGATCGAAAGGCAAGGACGTCATAATGAGGGCCGCTAAGGCAGTTGATCCGATCAAAAGACGTTGAGTACTTCTTATTTGAGGAACAATTGAATAAAGTGAAGCCACCATATGAGTTCTGATCATAAGTAAACGGCGAAGCAGACGAGTTTATGTTTGAAATCTGCCCGGGAAGACACGAAGCATTGAGTTCTGATAATCTTATTGTCTGTGACTTGTAATCAATTTCCTGAACAGAAACATTGGCTGATATTGGAATGTCAATGTTCTTGATAGATGCCTGCAATGGAAATTGGAGCTTGAATTGAGTAACATTGTCTTTGGTACAAGATAATTCGAAACCAGGGTAGCCACAGTTGGTTGGGTGACGATTTTTAAGACGAAAAGGGAACCGAATTACTGGACCGAAATCGCCACATCTTGTTGGCAAGCATTGATCTTGGATTGTTACTACTTGTCCTAGAGCTACTCTCAAGAATATTAGATGCAGAAACAAGTGAATTAGGATTTTGGTCATTCTCATTTCTCTGCTTCTAGGGAAGAGAAGCAACAGTCTCCAACAATGGTTGCTAAGTTGCAAAATGCTTAGCTTAGTTGCCAATTAGGAATCATTCGTGTAAGAGTGGTCCCCTTGAAATAAAAACTGATAGTGCTTTAAAGTCAACACGCTACAACATGCACTTAACAAGTTGCTGAGTTGTTGAATCTTTCAATATCTTTGACTTTCAAATACGGCGACTAAAATATGACTTCCGCTAATTTATCTTGGAAATGTCATAATCCCACTCTATCGTAGTAAAAGAAACGTTAGTGGATAAGACCGGTCAATATATTCCTTGTCATAATCAATGATCAATCCACTTATTCTCTTTCAAATCATCCCACTTAATTTTAACAAATAACTAATCCAAGGACGAGGTCATACATGTCAAGTCAGTCAAACTTCTTTATCTTTTGACACCCATTTGTCCCGGGCCTAAAAATTTTATTGGTCGCGCTGGAGAGAGTCGTCATATCGTTTATCAAAGAACCAAGACAACTTGATCAGGTATATATTACCACATCAAGAAAAAGAACCATAGTATCTTTTTATTTCCTCTGTATATTCAATTGAAAACATGTTGACAAGAGGGCTGCTTTTCGCTTGTGTTTTGTTACTTGTGACACTCATAAGCAGTTCTAAAGCGCAGGATATTTCTCAATGTGTCCCTTCTTCCTGCGGTGATATTCAAATAAAATTTCCCTTCCGACTGAGGACTGATCCCGAGCATTGTGGTAGACGCGGATATGAGCTCGATTGCCAGAACAACCAAACCGTGTTCAATTACAAATCCAGAATTTTCGACGTACAGGAAATTAACTACAGAAGCTACTCAATAAGGCTACTTGATCCTGGCCTAAATGATCAGAGAGAAAATTGCACAGTTTTTCCAAATCACAGGGCAAGTTATGATGCCATGACTAGCCAAATCTTTGAATGGGTTCGTGTTAACAATGATATCAACTATGTCAACTGTCTAGCTCCTATCAATTCGTCACAGTATATTCCTACAAGTTTTTGTAGCAAAAATACAACGGGTTTTAGCTACCTTGTCATAAGAGAAATATTGCAAGCTTCGGATTTGGCTGGCGGCTGTAGGGTTGAAACTGTTGCATGGTCCTCTGCTCCAGGCATTTCATCAAACAAGTCGTCTACGTTATCAAGCACACATCAAGGCCTGGCTTATGGGTTTGAGCTTTCTTGGAAGCGTAATCTGTTATGTAGAAATTGCGACCGGAGTCGTGGGGGTGAGTGCACTATTGAAGAAAACAGCGACAGAGCTACTTGTCGTTATTGGTGCAAAGAGGACATTCACGTTTCGAAGCTTACGTTCCGATGCAAAGTCGAGTACTATTCTGGTAATTTATAAAGTTTCACTATATACCCTCCACCTGCCTTGTTCTTTTCATATTGATAAGCCCTTCACTTGGAGAATTTTACTAACTTGTTTTTCTGTTTCTCTTCCTTTGCGACATTGGCAGTTTATGTATTGTTCTTTGGCGGTATAGGAATAGGTAAGGCTCCACAATTAAGATCCAACAAATTGTTATTCAAATAAAACTGCAGATTTTTCTAACTACGGCTGTTATTTTCTGAAATTGTGTAGGTGGAGTTTTGGCGCTAAGATTTCTACTAGGAATTCCAATCTTGATCGCAGCAGTGGTGTGGCAGTGCAAAAGACGGAATTTGCATACATCCTCCGATGAACAGAACTGTTAAGATTTTTGCTAGTCAAGCTATTTTAACAGAAGTTTGTGTATTTTTTTCAGAAAATCTAGGACAAGGTCAACCTGTGCTGGCGATTAATTACTAGGATTTTTCTTTCCAGTTTAGTCCTGTATTTTATTTGATATTCTTACCTATTTGATTGTGTATGATTTTTTTCCTTAAAATTTTATAATTTTCCTAATTCTTGTAAGTAATTGAATGGATATTTGTACTTTCTGTCAATAATAGAACAAGACATTCGTTAGTTTGTGGATCAAAAGCAATACTCCCTCCGTCTCAAATTATTTGAGGTGATTTCAAAAAATAGTTATCTCAAATTATTCAAGTATCATTTTAGAAATTCAAAACAAAATAAATTATACTTTTCCTATTTTACCCTTAATAGTAATTGTTCTTGAAAGTAGAGAGAGCATATAAATAGAGTAAATACTCAATGAAGAGAGTTCATATCTTAAGACCTAAATAAGGATAAAATAGTCTAATACCCCTTCTAATTAATGTTTCTTAGGTGACATTGTAGGCATGTAAAATTTATTAAATTTAAATTTAATAAATAATTTGGACTATATTTTAAATATACTAGTCCAAATAAATATAATGGACTAATATAATTGGATAAATTATAGAAATCCAGTGTTATTAGATAAATAAGATAAAAATCCATTGGGCTACGAATGAAGAACACGCTTTATTAAGCCCAAGATGTCATCTTCCTAGAGGCCCAGTTTTATGCCACGTGTCATATGACGTGGCACACCAAGTCAAACAGAAGAGCCAATAGGATCATGCCACGTGTCATAATGACAAGGCATGCCAAGTCATATTAGAAGGCCAATGAAACCGCGTCACGTGGAAAAGTGACATGTTCTGGCCAATCAAATGCGCCCTTGTCACACTTCAATTTGATTGGTCGAAAAGAAA